GGGTGCCTTTGAACACCAGCTCCCCCTTACTCTACCTTCCTAGTGCTGGGATTAGAGGCAGGTGCCACTATGCCTGGCCTAACGTCACTGTTTTATTTTGGGAAAATGAAAAGAAGAGCATAAGGAGCGCGCTCCCTGCGTCACACTTTTGAGTTTGCTTTGTGAGTTAGAGGAATTGTGTGCTTAGCAGAGCATGGTGGAGTTTTCCTAAGGAAACACATTTCTGTCTGCTGACTCCCACATTCTGGAATGTCTGAGAGGTCCTGAGTAGAAGGCTAGGTTGGCCAGGGAGATCACAGAGGAAGGGTGGAGGCTGAGGAGGCATTAAAGAAAGACACAGTGCAAGAGAGCGGGGGTGAAAACTGGGTTTTCTAAAACTGTATTTTCCTTCCTTCCTTCCCCACTTCCTCCCTCCTTCCCTCTCTCCCTCCCTCCCTTCCTCCCTCCCTTTCTTTCTTTATCCTTCTTTGTTCTTTCTACCTCTCTTCCTCTGTCCCTCCCCCCCCCTTCTCCCCTTTCTCCTTCCTTCCTCTTTTTCTCTTTCGATCCTCCACTTTCTTGGGCTCACTGAAAAATCAAGGCTAACCTCAAACTCAAAATCCTCCTGCCTCAGCCTCTTAACTGTTGGGCCAACAGACCTGGTTTGCTTTCCTTTTACTGGCCAGAGTCAAAGGCATGGCTGTTAGCAGGAGTCAGCCCGCAAGTGGAATTTTAATGGTAAACTCTATCAGGAGAACACTGACCTGGTAGAGTAAGAGCTGAAAGATGGGGAAGAAACAAAAGGAAGATGAGGGGAAAAGAGGAGGAAGGATTTCTGTTTTGTTTTTCATCACTCCTAGAAAGCCAGGCAACTAAAGGAAGAAACACAGGGAGGCAGGCTGGGGAAAAACCTCTCAAGGAACCTCATTAGGCAGAGTGTCTCTTTCCAAAGAAGCAGCTCCAAGAATGAACTTACTTACTGAGGTCTTAGGAAATCAGTTAAATATATTTGACACACGCATTGGCAGCAACTCAAGTCCAAGGGCAAACCAAACCAACAGGGAATTTGGATATGTTTTAAAGCGTTTATCAAGAATTAAAAAAAGTCCAGCCCCGTGGGAAGACCTTGGTACTGATAGAAGGCCAAGGCCAAAATTTCTGGCCATTTGCTGTAGGAAGGAAGGAGTAGATAGAGGTGGAGGCATTTTGATATTTGATTTTTTTTTTAAAGTGTTGTGATTCCTTTCAAAAGTAGAGAACAATTCAGTGGGGTCGGCAGGGGAATGGATTGGGAAGTAGAGACCAAGGCAGAGGTCAGGCTACAAAAGTGAGTAGGGGAGGGGGAAGATGGGGGGTGAGATCAACAGCCACGGGAGCAAACCACATGCAGGCCAAGCGCCTTACGCAGTATGCAGTCTGAAATGGCATCAGGGCAGGTGTTGCTGGCTACCACCTTGGCTCAGATTTGCCCTCCATGCTCTTCGGCTGGTCCATGGAATTCTGGAATTGGAGAGGGAGAACAGCATCCGACTTGGAGCTGTGGGTCAGAGAGCCTCAGGGACTTGGGGTCCCATGCTGGGGCGAGCAACACAGCAGGAATCCTGGGCTTGTTGGGCTCCTCCACGTTAGGACCCAAGGGGTGAAAAGAGGTCTCCCAATCTGGAGAAACAGTCAGATCTAATGGTTTTAAATCACATTTATTTAGTGTGTGTGTGTGTGTGTGTGTGTGTGTGTGTGTTTGTGTGTGTTTTAGGGAGCTCACTAAGGCACATGTGGGAGAGCTGAGGACAACTTGTAGAAGCCAGTCCTCTCATTCTTCCATGTGGGTCCTGGGGATTGAACTCAGATCCTTGAGTTTGGTCCCAAGCACCTTAGCCCGTTGAGACTATATATTGTAACCGGGTGCAGGCCAAAGAATCTTTCAAGTCTAAGATGACAATTAGGATTGAAGAGTGGGAATATTGCGATTGATTTTAGTATGTCCAAAATGAAAATACTTTGAAAGGATGTAGCATTTGGAATATGCAGAGCAGATAGAGAGGGTAAAGTTGGGCTAAGAAACGTAGCTGAGGGTTTAACCACATTACGGGTCTCATCCCACTGGAATGCAGCTTGCAAACCTGTGTGTGTATCCATGACTGTATCACTTGTAGGTGCATATTTAATGCATAGACTACCTATACTGACAGAACTTCCCATTTATAGTTTTTGCTGTCACGATGGGAAGTATATACTGTTATTAATTTCATTTTTCCGATGAGAAAGTGAAGAATTGGGAAAGTCAAGGAAGCTGTCTAAGGCCACACAATGGGAAGCAGGGAAAGAGAAGATGGAGACACAGGGTTAGAATCCAGAGTCTGAACTGCGATGATGGTTAGTCTCTACTAAACCAAGACATAGAAGGAAGGGCAGATACGTAGAGTAATTCAGATACTAATAACCACGTGACATTTACAAGAGGCTTCTATATGCCTCCCATTTTCCAAGTGCCATATATCACACACACGCGCGCGCACACACACACATGACACACACCCTTATTGCATTACCAGAATACCCTTGTTTCCTTTTGAAATCTTAGAACTCAGTAGGCATTCAAAAATATTAATTGGAAAATTCTCTCTCTCTCTCTCTCTCTCTCTCTCTCTCTCTCTCTCTCTCTCTGTGTGTGTGTGTGTGTGTGTGTGTGTTTTAAATTTTAGATAGGGTCTTAAAATGCAGTTTGTACTACTAATTCAGTTCAGGCTAGTACATTCTCAGCTAGCACGCTCTTCTTGCCTCGGCCTCCAAAGTGCTAGGATTATGTGCATCTCAGTGCCTGGCCATTGCACAAACTTTAAATAACTGTAAACAGACAGTTGTACTTTTGGGGATGGATTCCCAGGTAACAGGGCTGAAGTCCAAGGAACTCAGCTCCCATGACTTCTTCACTGGATCTTTCCATAGTGCATGCTTCTGGCTCATATAATCTAGTTTACATCTTGGCTTCTTCTTTCCCTCTCAAAGGGCAAAAAGCTTCCTTTGTTGCTGCAAGACTGTATTTGCATGTTGAATATCTAGACCCACCCTGGATTTCTGATTACTTAGCATGATTTGTTTGTATGAAAGGAGAGAACCCTGTATTTCCACCTTCTTCCCTGTAGAGTGTTCCCCGTAGAGCTTTGCCTTGTCCCCTGGAGGTGTGCCTCTCACCCTCCCTGGAAGCCACTCTTAAGAGGCATCGACTCTTGTTCCCTATCGCTGACCCAGCTCTCCATTCTCCACTCCATTCTCAAGCTCAGCTGGGGGCAAAAAGTTTCTTCTCTGTTTTGTTTTCAAACTTAGCATCGATTATCATAAGGATAACCTTCCCACGTAGACACTTTTGGACGGCTACTGCATTAAAAAAAAAAAAGGAAAATAAAGTGGTAGGAATTCTTGTAGAAAACAAGAATTTTTTGACTATTTGGGAATTAAATCCAGTAATAGCGCAAAGAATTGAAAATGGAGTCTAAAATAAACATGTTAATATTCATTGTGACATCATTATTCATAACAGACAAAATACAAAACCAATACATACATTGATCAACACATAAATAGATGAGCATAGTGTCTTATAGACAGATAATGGAATATTTTTCAGGGCATTCTGACACATGTCAGAATACGGATTAACCTTGAAGCTACTATGCTACATGAAATGAAGCCAGGCACAAAAAAGACAGTTACAGCCTGCTTTTGATAATGAATGTTACCTAGATTCAAGTGTGCTAGTGTATTATACACAGATAACGAGGCTAGTCTGTGCTACATGAAAACAAAAAAACTGAAAAGAAGAATAAAGAGGATGTGCTGAAGAAAGAGAAGGGAGAGAAGGATGAGGAGGACCAAGAATAGTCAAGAGTGTACAGACAGGACGATGGTTTCCAAGTGCTGGGTTGGGAGAGGGATGACTTGATGGACACAGTTTTGTAAAGTGAAGGCAATTCTGACCATTGTTTGTCTAACGGGGAGTGTTTGTGCACTCAACACACACTCTCCACTCAAGAATGCCTAGGATGTTCTGTGTGTTTCATCACATTTTGAAAGCTGATTTTAAAAAGGACTCCTGGAAATAGCAAAGCGTTCATGTTAAAGGTTCAAAATACTAAACCAAGTGGTTCAATTAAGTCATAAGAAAAATGCAGATTATACACGAAGGAGTTCAGATTTAAGACATTATAAACATACTGAAGATGAGGAATATTTAACCATGAGCTTTGGTATTTGGGCTTCTGACAGTTGGTGTTATACACCAGTTTCTTCAATGTCTTTTTTGTTGTTGTTTTGTGGTAAGTTTTGTTATAATAGGCCTCCAACTTGTTATCCCATGTGCCTGAACCTTCAGTTTCTTCCCTTCTCCTTCCTCTGCCCCCTCTCTCACTCCCCCTGTCCCCATTCCATCAGTCTCTCCCCGACTCTTCTCGTGGTAAGCTCTCTATAACCTAGACTGTCTTGCTTAGATATAATTTTAATGTAATGCATATTCTTCTCTTCTTTTTGGCCGGTGTGTGTTGTTGTGGGAGTGGGTTAGTGTGTGTGTGTCTGTAGTCTATGTACATGTATATGTGGGCACACTGGATGCATGTGTGTGCATACATGTGCACACACGTGCATGTGGCAGTACACGGTTAATGTTAGGTGTCTTCCTCAGTCACTCTTCCCCTTGTACAGTAAGGCATTCTCTCATTGAACCTGGCTACTTTCTGGCTAGTCTAGCTAGCCAACTTGTTCTGGGGACCTCTGGCCTCCACTTCCTGCTCTCTGGAATTATGAGTTGCTTGTCATGCTCACTGATGTTTTTTGTGGTTCCTGGGGATCTGAACTCTGGTCTTTATGTTGTGAAGTCAAAATGCTTTCAAAATGCTCTACCTACAAGGCATGTTCTTTAGTATGGAGACCCAGGACCTTAGAGCTGTCATGTCTGTGAAGTGAGGTGGATTAGATGAGGCTGTGGGGGACAGTCCTGAGGTCTCTATCACGCCATCCCGTTTACATACCTGTCTACGCGAAGCTGGCAGACAATACTTAGTGCGTCCACGACTCCCTCTTCTTTCAGCTGCTGACAGCCAATGGATGTGGCGATGAAGCATCCTGTCCTCCCAATCCCTGCACTGAATGGGAAAGAAAAGGAACGAGAAGATAAGGAAAAGCAACAAAGCTAAGCTGCATGATTTTTAAAGCATACTTTTTAACTTTGAAACTATGAGAACTAATAATAACAATGATAAAGCTACTATGGGTTGACAATCACACATCTAGCCTGTGCTGTGCTTAAAACTCTCTTTGGTTTACTTCGAGCAGTTGAACGAGCATGGTGGAAGGAGGTGAGGGGTTGGGAGGATGTGCAGACATTGCAACTGTTCTAGAAAGAATAATTAAGGCAAGGAATAGGCAGTTGGGGAAAAAGGGGAAATATTTAGACACACTACAATGTCTAAATGTGAACTGTGGAAAACAAAATATCAAAGAGAACCAGGCCTGGAGGACAAGAAGGATTGTATTGCTACAGGGACAGAGGGGATTCTGGGATGAGTACTGATCAGGAGATGCGGTTAGATGCTGGAGTCTAGTGAATAAACAAAGATTCACTTCTATTTAGGAGAATGAATAAGATTGGAAGCACATATTTCCAAGTCACTTACATTGAGATGGTAACTCAATAGAAATACAACGTGTTTTAGAGAGTTTATGTATTTACCTGCCTTACATAGCAAGTCTATGGGATCAACTTTAGCCCCTGCCATTTTGATCACCATTTTTATGTAAATTTCTCTCAACTCTGTATCTCAAGTCCCCAAACTTCTCCTAGGTGGAACTCTCGATGTTACTGTTTTTCACAAGTTCAATACACTTAAATATACGCATCTCTTTATCTCTCCCACAATGGCATCATCCACCTTGTAAGGTTTTCTAGCCTAGGAATCCTGGCTCCATCTTCCACATCTGCACCTCTCTCACCCCCCTCCCCATCTCATCTGTCGTCAGCTGAGCCTTTGGGACCGTGCTTTCCTGTCTGTAGCACATGCGCATGCTCAGTGTATCCTCATTTCATGATCAACCCGTGTCATCATGCTTCCCAGTCCTCAAATCTTTTTGTGGATTGGTTCATGGTGCAGCTGCTAGGCTCCCTGTCACAAGCTAAGGACACTATCACGCTTTACTCGCTGTTGCTGGCTCCCATTGGTGACAATACAACATCTAATTTACTCATCCTGGAACACGTGACTTGGAAAAATCTTAACCTAACAAACATTTCAATTTGCATTTTTTTTAGTTTTTAGAGACAAGGGCCGGGCAGTGGTGGCGCACGCCTTTAATCCCAGCACTCGGGAGTCAGAGGCAGGCGGATCTCTATGAGTTCGAGACCAGCCTGGTCTACAGAGCGAGTTCCAGGACAGGCTCCAAAGCCACAGAGAAACCCTGTCTCGAAAAACCAAAAAAAAAAAAAAAAAAAAAAAAAGAGACAAGGTTTCTGTTTGGAACTTTGGAGCTTGTCTTGGAACTTACTCTGTAGACCAGGCTGGTATCGAGCCCACAGAGATCTGTCTGCCTCTGCCTCTAAAGTGCTGGGCTTAAAAGCATGCACCAGCACTGCCCAGCTCAGTCTGCATTTTTTGTCTTTTTTCTGCCATATGTCCTATTATCTTTATTCTCATGAATCATAATATTTCTCATATTTAATATGATTTTTTTCAGCTGAATGTAACTAAAACAAAATTGATAAGGAATGGATCTCCTTTAATTGAGATATCCATAAAGACTTTGTTTCTTTGAAGAAATAGGATTTCTGCCATATACTAGGAATGGCAGGTACTCTATCACAATCGAGAACATATCCCAGGTGCAACAATAATATGAAGGAAGAATTTGATGCAAAATAAAAGATGTGACTTGTGACAGGCAGTAGATTAGCTTCGATGGGTAGACAAGCAGGAAACAAACCAGGCATGGAAACTAATATCCTCCATGAGAGGCCACAAAGTGAGCCACATCCTCTTATGAAGGTTTAAAAGAATTTGATGGGAACTCTCCAGAAAGAAGCTCATGCATGCATTCGAACTTGTTCAAATACTGTCAAGTAACTCACTCATCTCTAGTGTATCTGCAGAGTCAAGGCGAAGCACTGTTGCTTCGGGTGTTGTGAATCCATCTACCGGCTTTGAACAAGGACTGCATGCCATGCAGACATTTGCAGGAACATCATCTCAAAGAAGCACACAGGCTAGGCCAGACTGGCCCGAGGGAGAAGGGTCTGTGTGTGCAATTAGCCAACGAGCTTTAAACTACAAGGATGAGGTCATAAGGGCCCGGACTAGGATGGGTGGACAGGAAGTGTGATTGTGGGAGATGCTTTGAAGAGAAAGCCAATCTGGTAACTGATTAGATCCTGAGCCGGGAGTTGAAAGGAGGCGCAAAGATAACTGTCAGCCTGGATGCAGCATGAAGGGAACAAAGGAGGCCTCATTCTTAGACGTAATTATCAGAAGGGGCCTTAATTCTATAGCAGAGGGGCCTCTTTCAGCTTAGATATCTTTAGTGTTTAATGATTTTGGGTGGGGCCTTCAGTCGTAAACTGTACCCAACTAGTTTTTCCCCTTTGACTCCGAGGGTTTAGGATAAAATCTAATGTTAGAAACGGAGTAATGCCACTTTGGTAAATAGACACACACACATAAGAATGTTTAATTAATCCACAAAGCTTCGAAACAGAAGGAGAGTAAAATAAATCTGAAATCATGTGTCTTATTGAACTTCTTCTTAGGATATTTAGAAGGTTAAATGAATCAACATCAGTTATTTTAAAAAATACAGAATACATGGCATTATATAATGAATATAAATTACTTGCTTTGCTCACATGAAATAAGGGGGGAAATGTCAGTTTTAGGGGGTGAACATCAAACTAAACGCGAGGAAGAGAACCCCACGGAACACTGTTGCTGCCGTCTGCGTGGCCCCTGAGCCCTGTGTGTGCACTTGTTTTCCTTAAAACAAATGACCACTTGCCCGTTTCCCACTTCATAAATCATTTTCCATCTGGTTATCATGAGATAGCATTGAATATCATTAATGATTCCACCAAATCTGCCATAATAATAAGCGCTATCAATACACACAATCCATATGGTATCTTAAAACAGCAACGCTCCATCAATAACTAAACGTGTCTGCAGTTCTCAGTGTGGAAGTGACTAATGGGACAGAAATGAACCAACGGCGATCCAGGTCGGATGACGGAGGAAGGCCTCTTGCTTACTCAGACGTCTGTTTAATACTTGAAACATTAGCACTTTGTTGCATGCTAAAAATGCCCCAAAAAGTCTAATTAATTTCTGTAAGCATCATTTTGATAAAGGCTCCAGTATTAGGATGTCCCTCCACTTTTAATAAATACTCGATTTACTACAGAGTTACACCCAGGAAGCTAAGCCCTCCTTCTCCACGTTCTGCGATTAGAGAGGAAATAGCTGTTCTGGCCGGAGGATGGGTTCGTGCCTTACCTGCAGTGGACAACCACAGGCCCTCGACCCTCAGAGGCAAGTCTGTCTTCTTCTACGTCCAGCATGAGCTGCAGAAGGGGCTGGGCACTGTCTGGAGTTTTGTGATCAGGCCATGAAGTGTACCAGTAATGCTTCACATGTTGGGTGTGACTTCCTTGCTGAAAATAGCACAGGCCATCGAATTACTTATTCACTCGTGAAACTAAAAGGCACCCACCCCACAATGCTAAGCGACTTCTCTGGCTCCTGTCTTACTGCCAGCTAACTTCCAGGTAGGGAAAAAAAATCTAGAAGTTTTTCAAAATTACCCTTTCACCTCAAGATAGTTTTACTGTGCACATCCTGGCTTGACAGGGAAGGTTGAGTGTTCATCCTCTAAAAAGTGAGGTCTTCATACGAATCCATCATACAGACCATGTATGTATTATAGACTAAATATATATTTTTAATATGCTTTAGTAGGTGAAAATGTTGCTATTATTTGTGACAGGGTCTCACGCTATAGCCCTGTCTGTTCTGGAATCTGCTCTGTCAGCTGGGCTGGCCTCAAACTCACAGAGATCCACTGTATGATGGGATTAAAAGCTTGTGCCACCATGGCCTGCTTAAGAGGGGAAAATATAACAGAAAGAAAGGGATATGTTGTGTTTCCTGTTCTCTAAATCTTGATAGATCATATATAAACATAGTAGCCAATATAAGAACACTTGTTTGATATTCAGTAAGAATTGTTCTATCCTCATCTGGGATGCTGGTATTTGACAACAGTGGGGAATCTTAGCAGTAAAGGAGATCCGTCACATCCCTACAGTGGAGCACTAAGAGCTAAGGCTCACACACACGATCGCACAACCCAGAGCTCAGGTGGGAGGCCCGTTTCTTATCAGGCATGTGTTTTTAAACAGGTTTCTGCCAAGCCTCCCTCTGCTACACCTTTGAATAGCAAACATCTCTGTAGCTCTCCCTTCACGGCCATCCTCTCTGTGGTGCTTCTATCCCAGCAGCAGGCTGTTGATAGATGGACTGAGTTCTTTGGGTTGATCATTCTTTAAAAGCAAAACGAACACCATGGCAATGCTGGCTAGCACCTGCTGCCCCATGGGTTAAGTAAGAGCATATCTCTATGATGGGAGCTGGTCTAGGTTAGTCCCTGAGAATGACTGTTAACTACAAGCTTTTGAAGCTCTCATCAGCATGGCAGGCTCTTGTTGCCTCCCACAGCCATGTAGCAGTGTAGATTTTTCTCTTCTCTTCCACAGTTCTGTGGCCTCACTCAATGCTACTTTGACCACAATGACATTATCATCAAAGTCCTGGCCAGGTGGCCTGAACAAGCCTTAGTTAAGAGATTTCCAAAGGTTAATCCAAAGGGGGTCCATGAATGAAAATTAGATGATGTCAACATCTATGAAACAAACTGTCTTAATACCTACTTACATGAATTTAATTATTTCATATCTTAACAGTATCAAACAACGAAGGAGGAATGATGATAGCTTGTCTGTGGTCTCAGTATTCTCTCGCTTGTGCCAGCTGAATTGGTTAGTACTTAAAATAAGTCATTTCAAAGAAGAAATGTAACCCTTATCATCACCGACTCTGAAGACAGCAGTGGCTGCATAGCCTTACCTTTAAGACGAGGTTTCGGATGGTGTAGCTGTCACATTCATTCACACTGATGACCAGAACCTCAACCTTGCCGTAAATCCCCCTCTTTTCTGGCCAGTAGAGCACACATTTCTGCGGGGGGAGAAAGAACACAGCAAGTCTTTGTAATACACTTCCTTCAAAGGTCTCAGTTTTTCTCATTGAATTAAAAGAATTCAGAAGTCCCTGAGAAGCCTGCCCTTTTCTGAGGAGTGGCAGAGTGGGGGGTGCATCTGGGAGGGGAGAGGCTGGGGGAGCAGAGGGAGGGGAGACAGTGGTTGGGATGTAATATATGAGAGAGGACTAAAAAAATTCAAAAGTCAGTTTTATTATTCTGTAAAGATACTAGGACAAGATGTACTGTATGGTGTGTAGAGAGATGGATTGTATGATGTGTAGAGAGATAAACTTATGATGTAGAGATGAACTGTATGATGTAGAGATGAACTATATGATGTAGAGATAACTGTATGATGTAGAGATGAACTGTATGATGTAGAGAGATGAACTGTATGATGTAGAGATGAACTATATGATGTAGAGATGAACTGTATGATGTAGAGATGAACTGTATGATGTAGAGATAACTGTATGATGTAGAGATGAACTGTATGATGTAGAGATAACTGTATGATATAGAGATGGACTGTATGATGTAGAGATGAACTGTATGATGTAGAGATAACTGTATGATGTAGAGATAACTGTATGATGTAGAGATGAAGTGTATGATGTAGAGAGATGGACTGTATGATGTAGAGATAACTGTATGATGTAGAGATAACTGTATGATGTAGAGAGATGGACTGAATGATGTATAGAATGGAACTCAATAAAGTTTGTGTTTAAAAGTGTTTGTCCTACTTTACTATCAACCCCACCCCAGTCATAATGACAAGGTAAAATTTCCCCAAACTCCAACGAGGATTTAAGAATCTCTTAATAACCAACAAGTATAAGAAATGCTCTCCACCATGGTGGCTGCAGCCAGGCTCCAGTCCCTGCTTTCTCATACCAATGCGCCTACAGGAATATGTGTCACACGCCTACAGAATAAAAGTCACCTGGCATGCAAGGCAGGCGTTGTGGCAGTATATCAAAGCATCAAGCTTTTCACGTCCAGTGATGTGCTTTGATTCACTATGAGACCTACTGACATAACCGTGGAACAGAATTATGCTGGACATGTTTTTATAATGGATTCTCTGTGAAGGACTTGATAGGAGCAATAATAATGATATTGTCAATTGCAAATTAGGAGATATAGCATGGGGGTTAAAGAACAGACTTTGGACTCAGAGGACTGAGGTTCAGATTTTAGCCCTTGAGTAGAACATTGGCTTCTCTGGGCTCAGTTTCTTCATAACTTCCTACATGCCATATGCTTAGGACAAAGCCAGGCATAAAGTAAGCACTTAAAACATGTTATTGTTAACTATGCTTCGGCTCCTTACTGCATTCTACTTATTTATTTTGTATGTATATGTGTATGTATACGTGGGCATGCACATGCCACAGGTCATGTGTGGATGTCAGAGGACATCTGGCTAGAACCCATTCTCTCCTGTCACTGTGCGGGTCTCAGGGATTTAACTCAGGTCATCAGGCTGGGTGGCAAGCTCTTTATCAACTTGGTCTTTTTGCCAGCACTTGTTGGTAAATTTTGTAAAGCAGATTTCTCATTTATGTGTGTGTTTGAGTGTGTGTGCACGCGCTCACATTTACTCTCAGAAGTGTGGGTGCCAGTGGAGGCCCGGTGAGGACATCTGATTATCTGGAGCTAGAGTGTCATCTACGATGGGTGCTGGGAACTGAGCTCTGGTCTTCTGGAAGAGCAGCAAGGACTTTTAACCATTGAACCATCTCCCCCTCCACCTTGTTGCTATATTTTAGATGCCTGGGTGATAATTCCCAATAATATATACATTTATATAGAAATTCTTTCACATGTTGTCATCAATTAGGGTCTTATATCTCTAGGATAGTTGATTTTTCATGTGTATGGTAAAAGTATATGAACACTTGAAATAAAAGTTAAGGACATATAAATTCAAAACTCCAGCAAACATTCATAGAGCCATGATGGAGGAAGGTCATTGGTTAAAAAATAAAGAAACTGCTTGGCCCTGATAGCTTAGAACATAGGTGGGTGGAGTAAATGGAACAGAACGCTGGGAGGAAGAGGAAGTGAGCTCAGACGCCATGCTCCCCTCTCCTGGGCAGACGCAATGAAGCTCTGACTCAGGATGGATATAGGCTAGAATCTTTCTGGTGAGTGCACCTTGGGGTGCTACACACATTATTAGAAATGGGCTAGTCCAGGTGCGAGAGTTAGCCGAGAAGAGGCTAGATATAAGGGGCCAAGCAGTGTTTAAAAGAATATAATTTGTCTGTTGTTATTTCAGGGCATTAGCTAGCCAGGTGACCAGGAGCTGAAGCGGCAGGAACACAGCCTGCAGTTCCCTACAACAGAGCCACAGAATTAAAGAGAAGGCCTACCCTATGTTAGAAACACACCTTTAAGGTTTTATCATGACATCACTTCAACATCTAGCTGCCAGGAAGAAAACCACACCATCTGGTGGAGTGGTTTCTTCCATCCATTGCAATAAACTCAAACATCTTTACATGTTTGCCCTTTCCAATACAGTTGAAATGTTGAAATCACCCCAGCTTTACTTATATGCCGCCCAGACTGAATAACTTCACACTACTGTTAAAAGCCGGTGCCCACCAAGAGGGCTTAGCTTGCTCAACTGATGACCTGAGTTTGGTCCCTCTATCCCATAGGTGGCAGCAGCAAACCAATTCTACAAAGTTATCATGATACTTCGGCATGTCCCCACCCCTGTTCTTTCCATCCTGGCAAATAATGAATAAAATTTAAAAAAATTAAAAGACCTTCTTCTCTGTGTTTATCTGACTCTCTATCTCCCTCCCCCCCCCCCCCCGTGTGTATATACAAGACTATTCACCCACATGTAGACACCGGAAGAGGATATCAGGTGTCCTGTACTATTATTCTCTGCCTTGTGTTCTTGAATCACTGAAGCTCCAGGTAGCCTGGCCTCCAGGGAGCCCCACCAACCCTCCTGTTTACAGCCCTGGGGTTACAGGAGCACACAGTGGTGCCAGAGTTTTTATGTGGTCGCTTGAGTATTCAAACTCAAGTCCTCATGTTTGACCAGCAAGATCTCTTGTACAGCCCTGGATCCCACCCAGTTAGACTAACCCGTTTGACTAGTTTCTTTTGATGGAAACTCGGTGATTTAACTTAATGTTCATCCTAGTACTCACATCTCCCAGATAAGCCAGGGAGACTGACAGCATCCTAGTGAGAATTGACCAGGGAAAGAGGTCTGTTGTGGCTCAGCAGTCTGACGTGAGCCCCATTGTCCACAAGCAGGCCTGAGCAGCAGGGCTCTTTTGAAAGAAAGTGACTCGCAGAATCAAGGAGGAAATGGGCCAGGTGGGAGCTTGGTGCCTGCACCCTGATTTGAGTGGTGTACAATACAACTTGAAACGTGGAAGCCTGGTCCTCAGTTCCCTTAAGATTGCTTGGTCTTCTTGTGTTTTCCTTGATTTCTTACCAAAAAAGCAGCTGGCAGGCAACTCCCAGCAGGTGATACAGTATGACTTGCTCATTCAACAAACAACCTTTAATTAGCATCCCATCTCCTTTCTAAGTTACAATAGCTATTTTTACACACAGAACCCCCATCCTCTTGCAATGGAGGAAAACAGAAAGAGATCAGATCACTGTGGATGCTTTTGAGTATTCTCCCAGGAGTGGGATGGGGCTAAAAATGTGGCTATTCAAGGAGCCCAAGTTCATGTTAAAATTATTGTCCTGAACTGCATCATAGGGCTTATTTATTTGTAGTGAGAGCAATGACCAATGACGTGAAGGAGGTAGAAAATGCTGTCTTACAGATAATTCTGGGGAGCCTCACTAAGAAAGTAATTGAAAGTATACCACTATCTAGGTGAATACAGTCTCAAATCACCACTATCATTCTGGTAACTGGGCTCGGCCTTTTAGTAAGACTATTAGCCCCAAGAATCCATAGTTTGAAGGAGAAAAAAAATGTGTGTGTGTGTGTAAACAAGTAATTATCAGGCTGACTGAAAGCATTGTACACATTAATTTGTTGAACAATTCTTCAAAGTGAGGCGTTTATAGGAAGAGTAGAACACAAGGGGAGGAATAGTTAGGAATTTGATTACCAAACAACATGCCTGTTTCAAGGATATATATATATCCTTGAATATATATATTCAAAGAGATGTTTGCTGTATGAGCTAAAGCTATGTATCATCACATGAAAAATGTCTCTGAATTAAAGATTCAGTTTAAGGCTCTGTCGGTATATGAGAGGGATAGAATGGTAGCATATTGTCTACAATTACTATTACAGATTCTGTTATCCCTGGTGTATCAGCTAAATATTATTAACATATGCACAGTTTCACCATTAAACATACTCTCACCACCAATATATCATTTGATACCTTGCATAATCTCCTGAGGTTGGGAAGTGTGGTGGTTTGATGGAAAGGGCCCCCATTGGCTCCTATGTTTGAAAGGTTCGTCCCCAGTCAGTGGAACTGTTTGAGAAGGATTAGGAGGTGTGGCCTTGCTAGAGAAGGTGTGTCACTGGGGGTGGGCTTTGAGGTTTCAAAATTGCACACCAGGCTGAGTCTCTCTCTCTCTCTCTCTCTCTCTCTCTCTCTCTCTCTCTGTCTTTCTCTCTTATGATCCAGCTGCCCTCACTCACCCTGATCAGTAGCTGAACTCCCTTGTGGTCTGTAATTGACATGGATGTTTGTGTTCTTTCTGGCCCGGTGGTTTTCCACAGAAGCAGTAGAGGTATAAAAGGCTTTAGCTGGGTCTTAATCCAGGCACCCCCTGCCAGCCTCCGCATCCAGGCTGTGCTGGTGCCTCTCTCTCTCTCTCTCTCTCTCTCTCTCTCTCTCTCTCCTGTAGTTCAGGATGTAAAGCTCTCGGCTACAGCACCATGCTTGTCTGCTTCCCGCCATGATGATCATGGATTAACCCTCCAAACCCTAAGCAAGACCTCAATTTAATGCTT